TCCAGCCTGGACAACAGAGCAAGATTCTGTCTAAAAAACAAAAAACAAAAACAAACAAACAAACAAAACAAAATAAAACAGAAAGTGGGAGAAAGAGAGGAGTCTAAGTTGTCTCCAGAGTTTCTGGTTGAATGGGATAAATGGAGTTGTCATCAGCTGAGACAGGGGAGGCTGAAAGAGGAGCAGGTGGAGGACAAAGAGTTCAAATTCAGACAAGTGTTCTCACACCACACCAGGCTTCTTCTTAGTGTTTTACACAAGAGACTGTGGCTTCCAGGCACTCCTACTACCTAATAAGTTGGAAGATCAGGGAAACAAATCCACAGTGGAGGAAACACCAGCACCACGAATCGAGCCCTTACTCAAAGCCAGGCCCTGTGCTGAGAGCATCCCAGTGACGATCTCCCTGATCCTTATAACAGCCCTGCAGGTATTATCACTGTTCCGACTGCAGATAGGCACTCAGCCTTGGGAAGAAGAAGTCTTTGGCCCGAGGCCCCCCAGATAGGGCCACAGCTAGAGTTTGAATCCAGGTCTGCCTGAGTCAGTTTCCACGTTTTTACCTCTGCTATTAAGACCAGCAGAAGTCAGGGACAGGTTTATTAAAATAGTGGACCCAAACTCAATATTGAAAGACAGGGTTTGCAAGAAAGGAGAGAATAGATTCAGCAAATGCAGGATGACATCCCAACTCCTTGTCATGTAATACAAGACCCTGTATGGCCTGGTCTCTGTTGTCCTCAGCAGTTTCCCCTCAAGCCACTTGTTCATTAATGATCTGTTGGCTGGTTTTGAGACACGCCAAGCTTTTTTCCCAATTCAGGGCTTTTACCCATACAGTTTCTTCTTCCTGGAGTGCTCCTCATCCTCTTTTTCCTGAATGACTCCTACACATCTCCAGATGCTCAGGTCAAATGTCACTTCCTCAGGGAAGCCTTCCATGATACCCTCTCCCATCTAAAACTAGCCTCCTTACTTGTACCCTGCATTAGTTCACTCTGTCACTCAGGCTGGAGTGCAGTGTTGCAATCATGGCTCACTGTAGCCTTGACTTCCCAGGCTCAAGCAATCCTCCTAACTCAGCCTCCCTAGAAGTTGGGGCCACAGGCATGAGCCACCAGACCTGGCTAATTAAAAAAAAAAGTTTTTATTCAAAACAGGTCTCGATATATTGCCCAGGCTTGTGTTAGTTCTTGATAACACTTAAGACAATTCTGATAATTATTTGCAATGATGTATTCAGTGTTCTCCCTCCTACCAAACCAGTGCTGTCCAATAGAACTTTCTGCAATTATGGAAATGTCCTAGATCAAGGGTCCCCAATCCCTGGGCCGAGAACCAGTAATGGTTTATGGCCTGTTAGGAGCCGGGCTGCACAGCAGGAGGTGAGCGGTGGGTGAGCATTACCGCCTGAGCTCCGCCTCCTGTCAGATCAGCAGCGGCATTAGATTCTCATAGGATGTGAACCCTTTTGTTAGCTGAACATGCAGGGGGCCTAGGCTGAAGACTCTTTATGAGAATATGATGCCTGAAGATCTGAGGTGGAACAGTTTTATCCCAACCCCTTCCCCTACCTAACCACCCCTATCCATGGAAAAATGGTCTTCCAAGAAACTGCTCCTTGGTGCCAAAAAGTTGGGACCACTGGCCTAGATGTATGCTGTCCAATATGGTAGCCACTAGCCACATGTAGCTCTTGAGCATTTGAAATGTGGTTAACATGACTGAGGGACAGATTTTTTAAATTTATTTTAATTATTTTATAAAAAATATATTATATGTATATATATATGTATATATTTTGAGACAGAGTCTGTGTTGCCCAGGCTGGAATGCAGTGGCACAGTCTCTGCTCACTGCAAACTCTGCCTCCCAGGTTCAAGTGATTCTCCTGTCTCAACTTCCCAAGTAGCTGGGACTACAGGTATGTTCCACCATGCTTGACTAATTTTTTTGTATTTTTAGTAGAAACAGGGTTTTCCATGTTGATCAGGCTGATCTCAAACTCCTCATCTCAAATGATCTGCCCGCCTCGGCCTCCCAAAGTGCTGAGATTATAGGTGTGAGCCACTGCATCCAGCCACATATTTTATATTGCATGTTACACTATATAAATTATCTCATGTGCAAACGGTATACTTTAAATTCATCTAAGCTTAAATTTAAATAGCCACATGTAGCTAGTGGCTGCATGTACCATTGGACATTGCAGCTCTAGATTGTGAGTTGCTTAAGGGCAAGAACCATTCTACCTTACTCAGCTGTAGAATCCTTTGTACCTAGGATAGTATCCAAGTAAATCAGTGAATGAATTAATGAATGAATGAAGCAATCGGTCAATCAAGGTCTGCAAACTTGCTTTCAAGAAATCATCCTAGAAAGAATAGACCTAGAAAAGTCTGATTTGCACAAGGTCACACAAAAAGGGAGAACTGGATGCAAACTCTCAGCCTCCCATATCTCCTCTATGTGGTGCTGTCCCACAGTGGACAGCATGTGAATGGCAATGGTTTTTTGTGGTCTCAAATGAACTACCCCAGAGCTGCGTGAAGGTGAGGTGCCTTCACATGAGAGGAAGGACTATTTTCTTAGACACCCTCACTCCCTTTCCCCGTTCCCCAACCATGTAAACTACTTAGTGGCTTATAATCTGCTAACACTTGGCCTCCCACGGGACTCAGCCTGTTCCAAAGTCCACTCTTGCCAACCCTCTGCAAGGCACTCTGAATTTTTTTTTAGCCATATTGCTCTCGGGAAATCTGTTGCCTGCAATCTGTGCATAATATACGAAGGGTGTGGTTTAAAAAACATCTAAATCGTGATTTGTAACCCACTCAGATTCATGTGGCCATTCCTTTTAGCTTACTCTTTTTTTAGAAATTGAGGTCAACACATTTCAGGGCTAATTTTGACTTCATTCAAATATCATTTGGGGTTTGCAGATTAAGATTTTGAGGAGTCTGGTATAGTGAACCTACGTATTTTGTTTTTATAATTTTTCAGATGTAATAATAATAGCTAATATGCATTGAGTGCTTTGTGCCTGCCTTAGCATACATTATTTCATTTGAGCTTCACAATAACCTTATGAATTAAGTACTGTTATGATCTTCATTGGGTAGCTAAGGAAACAGTCTCAGAAAGGTTAAGTCACTTGCTTAAAGTCACACAGCCAGGAAGTGGCAGAGAAAGGATTTGAATCAAAGTATGTCTGATTCTAGAGATAATGTACTTAACCAGTGTACAATTTGGCCTCTCTCATAGATAATATATGCATTTATGCCTATTAAACACAGAAAGAACAATCAAGAAACTTAACTCTGGGGAATAGGACTGGGGCTTGAAAAGAAAGGAGACTTACTTTTTATTCTTGTGCTTTTCTTTGAACTTTGTTTACCTTTATTTATTGGTATATTGTATTATATTCCTATAAAAACCTAAATGTTTAAATTCAAATAAGTAAAAACTTCATATTTTTCCTTTTTTAAATTAAGGAAGGAATTATGATAATGTCAGGTCTATATATTAATAGATTAAATATACATGACCCTTTTGCAAAGTTCATATACACAGGAATCTTTGAAAAGTTCACACGCTCTGACATTATTGAAAAATGTATCCCAGAAAAACCACAGTTCCAATATGCAGTCTTATTCTGAGTACCAAAGTTCACATTTCTGATACTAAATTATTTTTTATTTGGGGATAATAGTTTTATTTTTGAACATGATATTTATTCTCAAAAACGTATGTTTTTCTTGGGAAATTTGTAATCAGACCATTACATTTTTATGTACTCTTATATCGACCTCTGGATATTATAACTAAACATCCTTTAGCATTTGTGAAATAATGCTGTATTACATAATCAGATATGTCATTTGTAGATCAATTAGTAAATTTTAAGTTAATTAAAATTTTAAGTGAAAATTAATTTTACACTGATTGAAAAGTAAACATTACAATCCCCTTCAGTACTCAGAGCCTCAGAGAACTGTATCAGTCACACTAAAAGTCACTTGGGAGAATTCTTCAGTAGCTTATAGAAAAAAAATCCACCATTTTTAAAGTCAAGAAAATACACACATACTAACAATAATTTATCCTTTCTAACAAACCCAAAGGGAATCTACTCTTACCACCCAAATGGTTAGTGATTCTAAAAATTAAAACAACCTCCTCCCTCCAGCAATGTTCTTTTTAATGCCCCCTTTCATACTCTTCGAATTTACCTAACAAATCACTATCTGGTTGTGGTAGGAAAAGTCTGTAAACCCCTCTACAAGGCCCCTGTCCTTTCCATTGCTTGGTATTTCCCCAAGATTCTCAGAGCAATTTTGGTTTCCCTTAAAAATCCCCATCCTCAAAGGAGTATATTCCTGATGTTCCGATGGTGAGTCTCACTCTAGCTAGCTGCTACAAAAACCTTTCATTCAGAAGAAGGCAAGAGGTTTCAGTGACCGTGCACAGCCTTCTCATTCACACACTTCATAAACAACAGGACTTTGCCCAATCCTCTCCTCTAGGAAGGCATCCCAGTTTTTTAGCAACCAGTTTGCAACATCGGTATCATTCCCTTCCAAAAGACCTTGCAGAAAAATTATGGATTTCACAGCATAGGATTACGGCTGGAAAGGACCGATGTCATTGCATGGACTCACCAATTCTGTCCACATTTCAAAACCGCAGCTAATGCTTTCTTAAAGCACACATCTCAAAATCCCTTTAGGATTGAGAGCAATTAAAAGGAAAATCATAAATCCCGTCGTTCCCCATAAGGTCCTGACAGATCTGAAAAATGGAACTGAGTCAGAGATACAGAAGCTGGGCTGCTGGGGAAGGAAAATGGCTTGTCTCCTCCAGGCCCTAATTCCTTCCTCTGAAACAGTTCCCTTTAAATTCAAGAAGCTATGTAGAGATGCATCCCCCCAACCCCCTTGCAGGTTTTCGTTTTTTAAAAGAAAGCCTGTCTGCCTCTTGCTCGCCCCCATGATACTCACGGCAGCTGCCTTAGCTGGAATAAGTCCTCCTCCATGTCCGCGCTGCGCCAGGACGAGCCCTTCTCATGGCCCTTACATGGTAGTGGTGGATGACGAGCCCTCCGGTTTTCAGCACCGGGATGCTGGACAGCACCCGCGCGGCTTACTCCCGCGGGCAGCAGCTGTTGGGGAGGGAGCCGCTGGGGACCAGCCCACGAGACAAAGCCGCCGCCGCCAGGAGACCGCGGCGAGAGTGGGCGGAGAGGAGGAGGCGGAGGGCAGAGCGAGCTGCGCGGGGAGAGGGGGCAGGGAGAGCCTTTCTGCTCGGAGGAGTTCACAGGCTCTCTGGCTGGTGGTGCATTACTGGGATGCCTATAAGGCGCACCAGTCTGAAATTGTTGTCCGGGTACCAAAGAACACCCTTTCGTTGACGACGACTGTTTAAATGTTATTTGCAGGGATTCATTAATGTTATCAGTAATCACTCTTGAAACCCGGGCTGCTATAACAAATACAGCCATGCATTTAAGTACTGTTTCTTGAGCACCTATGTGCCAGGCACTGTAATAGGCACTGGAGGTATGACAGACCAACTCAACCTGTCATTGTCATCGTGGAGCTGAGGGTCTAGTGAAATGCATCAAGAAAAAAATGTAAGTTAGGTATGAGAAGGCCAAAGATCACTCATTCTTTCAACAAGCGTTATTGGGTGATTTCTACATAAAAACATGAATAAAATAAAGTCTCTGCCCTCAAGATCCTAGCTAGTTCAATAGTTCAATATCCCACCTCTCACTAGAATTTCTGCGCCCTTCAGAACTTAAGCTCCATGAAGTTTCACTGATGTGTTCCAAGTACTAGAACAGTATCTGGCACGTAGAAGGTGCTCCATAAATATTTGTTGAATGAATGGTTCTCAATTCAGGCTACCTATAAGAATCACCTGGCTCTATCTCAAACAAATTGAACCCAACTCTCTGGAGGTGGAGGCCAAGCCTGGGTATTTTTTATTTTTTCAATATTTATTTATTTATTTATTTATTTATTTATTTTTGAGACATGTTCTTGCTCTATTGCCCAGGCTGGAATGCAGTGGCATGAGCATAGCTCACTGCAGCCCCGACCTCTTGGGCTAAAGCAATCCTCCCACCTCAACCTTCCGAGTAGCTGGGACCACAGGCTCATGCCAGCTAATTTATTTATTGTAGAGATGGGATCTTGTTATGTTGCCCAGGCTGGTCTCAAACTCCTGGGCTCAAGCAAACCTCCCATCTCAACCTCCCAAAGTGCTGGGATTACAGACGTGAGCCATTGCACCCGGCCTCAGGGGTTTTGTTGTTGTTGTTGTTGTTGTTGTTTTGAGCTGGAGTTTTGCTCTTGTTGCCCAGGCTGGAGTGCAATGGCACGATCTCAGCTCACTACAGCCTCTCCCTCCCTGGTTCAAATAATTCTCCTGTCTCAGCCTCCTGAGTAGCTAGGATTATAGGCGTCTGCCACTATGCCTGGCTAATTTTTTGTATTTTTAGAAGAGATGGGCTTTCACCATGTTGGCCAGGCTGGTCTTAAACTGACCTCAAGTGATACACCTGTCTCAGCCTCCCAAAGTGCTGGGCTTACAGGCGTGAGCCACTGCCCCTGGCCCAGGGTATTTTTTAAAAGCTCCCCAGCACCATGAAGTGAAAACCACTGATCAAGTGGGAACAAATGAAGAGAAAAGCAGAAAAATGAAACAACAGAAAACTGCTAAGATAATCCATGATGGCAGCTGGCAGGAGCTATGAGGATGACGATTGAATGGAACTTACAAGAAACTAAAGGAAGAAGGAAACTTTTTTTTCTTTCATTGTTGACAATGGGTGGGGGAAGTTGGAAGAGGGTACAAGGAAACCAATCTGAGAACTGAAAACAATCTCATACCAAATCTATAAAAGGACTTGAAGATCCAAAATTGAATGTATACCAGGACCCTGGCTGTGTATTTCACCGTGGTCCCCCTTGATCTTTGCAACAATCCTATGAAGCAGGTGTGATTTTTATTTTTATTTTGCAAGATGAGGAAACAAGGCTCAGAGAAGGATAGGTTTGCTTGCAAAAGGTCACGCTGACAGGAAAGACTTGATCTGGACTTAAAACCCAGGCCGTCTGTCTCCACAGCCTAAGCCCTTAATTGCTAGGCTTTCTTTGAGTGTCTCAAAAGAAACCACCCATTGTGGGTATAGTAGGAGAAATGGAAATTATTGAAACATTGGATACTTTAAGCAAATAAAATGTTGGGAAAACTAATTATATAGCAGTACTCAAGCTCCAATTTATTATTTATCAAGTAAATATTAATGGAGCAGCAACTATGTGTCTGTCACAATAATAGTTTGAACTTAATCATGGCTCCTTCTCACCTCATACTGGAGAGTCAGTTACAACTTGCCCTACTCACACTTATTTCTAAAGAAATCTCCCCATCCCTGCTGTGCACTACATTTGGTATCACATGATTCCTGGCCACAGCTGATTGGCTGAGAGGGTGGACACTTATCTACAGACATCCAATCCAAACACTTGTCAGTAGCTCCATTGTGGCATTGCTGGGAGAGGGAGCTGGGCAATCTGGTACCTTTCCAATGGTGGATTCAAAAGTCTCTGAAGGCTTTTGCTCTAACCACCCCTCCTTTTCTCTCAATCCTGGTGTCAAGTGGGGCTCTCCAGGGCTCTATGAATATTTATTGCACTCATTCTAAATAGCCCCTTTAGGGGCCAGGTGTGGTGGTTCACACCTGTAACCCCAGCCTTCTGGTGAGGTCTCTTCCCGGCTTGCAGATGGATATCTTCTCTCTGTATGTTCACATGCTCTTTCCTTGGCACGTAAGCATAAAGAGAGAAAGCAAGCTCTCTGGTATATTTTCCTATAAGGGCATTATCTCATCATGTTAGCCCCATCTTCCTGACTTTCTGTAACCCTGATTACTTCCCCAAAGCCCTATTTCCAAATACACATTATGGGGTTAGGGCTTCAACATATGTATTTGGGATGGACACAAACATTCAGTCCTTAACTATGTATCATAACGTTTGAAGTGTACAGTTTAGTGGCATCAAGTATATTCATTACGTTATATAACCATCATGCTATTGAATTCTAGAACTTTTTTGATCATCCCAAAGAGAAACTCTACCCACTGAGTAATAACTCCCTATTCCTCCCTCATCCCAGCCCCTGGTATCCTTTATTCTATTTTCTTTTTTTATTTTTATTTCTTAGAGATAGGGTCTTACTCTGCTGTCCAGACTGGCATGCAGTGATGCAATCATCGTGACTCACTGCAGCCTCAACCTTCTCAGCAATCCTCCCTCCTCAGCCTCCTGAGTAGCCGAAGCTACGTGTGCATGCCACCATGCCCAGCTAAGTTTTATTTTTATTTTTTTGTAGAGACAGAGTCTTCCTATGTTACCCAGGCTGGTCTTGAACTCCTAGCCTCAAGTGATCCTCCTGCCTCAAGCGATCCTCCTGCTTCAACCTCCCAAAGTGCTGGGATTACAGGTGCATGCCACTGGGCCAAGCCTATTCTACTTCCTATTTCTGTGAATTTGCTTACTCTAGTTACCTGATAAGAGTGGAATCATACAATCCTTGTTCGTTTCGTGTGGCTTATTTCACTCAACATAATGTTTACAAGGTTCATCCGTGTTGTAGCATCTATCAGATCCTTGTTCTTTTATATGACTGAATAATATTTTTTTGTACTTATATGGCACATTTTGTTAATCCATTCATCTGTTGATGGACACGTGGGCTGTTTCCACCTTTTTGGCTATTGTGAATAATACTGCTATAAACATTGGTCTACAGTGTATCCCTTTGAGTCCCTGTTTTCAATTCTTTTGAGTATATAAATAGGAGAAGGGTTGCTGAGTCATATGGTAACTATGTTTAAGTTTTTGAGGAACTGCCAAACTGTTTTCTACAGCAGCTGTACCATTTTACATTCCCACCAGCAATGTACAGGGGTTCCAATTTCTCCACATTCTCCTCAACACTTGTTGATAATAGCCATCCTAGTGAGTGTGAAGTGGTCTGATTTGCATTTCCCTAATAACTAACAATGTTGAGCATCTTTTCATGTGCTTATTGGCCATTGGCGTATCTTCCTTGGGGAAATGTCTATGCAAATCCCTCACCCATTTTTTAATTGGATTGTATTAGGCCATTTTTGCATTGCTGTAACGGTGGAATAGCTGACAGTGGGTAATTTATAAAGAACAGAGATTTAATTGGCTCACAGTTCTGCAGGCTGTACAGGAAGCATGGCGCTGACATCTGCTTCTGGTAAGGGCCTCAGGAAGCTTAGAATCATGATGGAAGGTGAAGAGGGAGCAAGAGAGAGAGAGGGGTGATGCCACACACTTTTTTTTTTTTTTTTGAGATCGAGTTTCCCTTTTGTCGCCCAGGCTGGATGGAGTGCAATGGTGCAATCTTGGCTCACTACAACCTCTGCCTCTCAGGTTCAAACAATTCTCCTGGCTCAGCCTCCCAAGTAGCTGGGATCACAGGCACCCACCACCACGCTTAGCTAATTTTTGTAATTTTAGTAGAGATGAGGTTTAACCATGTTGGCCAGGCTGGTCTCAAACTCCTGACCTCAGGTGATCCACCCACCTCAGCCTCCCAAAATGCTGGGACCACAGGTGTGAGCCACCACATCCAGCTACCACACACTTTTAAACAATCAGATGTTTCGTGAACTTACTCATCACCACAGGAATGGTGCTAAGCCATTCATGAAGGATCCACCCCCATGATCCAAACACCTCCCACTAGGTTCCACCTCCAACACTTGAGATTACATTTCAACATGAGATCTGGAGGGGACAAATATCCAGACCATGTCGAATGTCCTTGAGATTTGAAAATATTAATGTGTAATTAAAATGTTGGCTTGCTGTGGTCCTTACCTAATTACATGGCATTCTTACAACTGCTCAGCCATGAATCATGTCAAGTTTCTACCTTCTAAAAGAAGCTTCTGATTGCCACAGTACATCTTTTTAAACCAGCTTATATGGATCATGGAGAGGTCCCACAGAAAGATATTGGTTGAATTTTGGTCCAGATGGCTAGCTCTGGACCAAT